TTGTATGGAGTCCAGATCTGCCTCCCAAGAGATAAGCTGGTCCTGGTATATCCTCTTGGACTCTGTCAAGTTCACGATTCTCCATCGTAGCTTTTCTCCTGGACATGTGACTCTGGAGTGCTGTGTCTCTCCGGGTCCCCATGTCCAGTCGCTCATTGGATTGGCGCCAGCAGTTCCCCTCGTCTCCCTCACCTAGCCCTTCCTTCATGTCACCATTGCTCTCGCCCTGGTCCAGGCGCATCAAGCTTTCCCTCCTCCAATTCTTCCTCACTGCTGCAAGATGAATTTTCCCAAAACATCCGAAGTATCAATTTTCCCTTGAAGGTGCCTTAGAGCTTAAAGGATAGCCCTCCCTCTTTAACCTGGCATTTCAGGTCTTCTTTCCTCAGTCTCCAATTTTATGTACAATTACACAAAACCCTTAACTAAAAGCAAACCCGTGAACACAACTGTTGTCAAAACATTCTATTTGCACTTCTGCCTCTGGGTCCCAGTCCTTGTTTCCTACTTCCTTCTTCAATTGAGTCTCCTTTTGGGCAGTCTCCTTGGCTCTGATGGGATCCTCTCTCTGCCCCACAGAGCCCAGCCTGTGCTTTTCATGTGCTCTCTTACTTTTGAAGTGAGTCCAGTTGCGGGTCCTCTGAGAACTCTCTTATTCCTCCATACTCTGCATGGGTATGCACTCAAAACATGAGGTCTGAGGGTGGTGATGTGAGAAACTCAGCTTGCAAGCCTCCCTAAGCCTTTTGCCCATTTTCTTTAATATTTCCCCCTAGGGACATACTTTGGGCTTCTCTTTTTTTCCAACAGCCTCTGAACAGACCACAGTATTCACGGTGCGGCGTGAGCACTGCGAGGGTCAGTGAAACCATAGTTTCCCTGAGCACAAAGGGGAGGGAGGGAGGGACACAGAGATGGAGAGAATGAATTATGATGTGCTAATTCAGCCATCAACAGTTACTCAGGTTGCCAAAACATGGCATTGATGCTTGAGTTCTCCCATCTGAACAATGAGCCCTAGTGCTCCTCTTGAGGCCAGTCTTCTGGGATTACCAGAAGACTGGGATTACTGCTTCCACTGGCCATTCATTAAAAAAAAAAGTTGTACACCTGCCATGTCCCTACATGTATCTTCTAGAGCATGTTTCATAATTTGGGTTTGTTGGTTTATTCCACAATAAGAATTTGAGTTTTTAAAAGACTAGTGCATGTTAGTAATATAGAACAATGAGATTCTGAGAAATTAGTACATGCATATGACTTATTTTGATCATTTTCAATCCGATCCCCCCTGCCTGAAATTTGACTTATTTTCTTGACTTTTCCTGCCAGTTGTGATATAATCTTGTATGTTTTCCAATTTCACATTTCTCTAGTGTTTTTATTTTTCACTATATACTTTAACCTTTCTGCACACATTGGGTGAATGTTTTAGATGTAGACCACATATTTAGGAATTTAAGGAGTCAGCAGAGAATAATAGCTGAGCACACAGATTCTGAACACCTTTGGCTCTGCTGCTCACCTGCTGTGTGAACTTCAGTAACTTATTTCATCTTAAGCTTCAGGTTTCCTCAGCTGTAGAAAGAACAGGACCCCTCACATGTGTGGCAAGGATTAGGTTGGGGACTGTCCGTGATGAGCACCTCACACGTACATCCCAGATGCTGGCCGCGGTTGTGAGTGACACTCCAGGTCAAGGGCTTTGGGCCTGTACTGTGGGTTATGAAGTGCCCAAGGCTGACCTTTAATAATGAACATAGTGATAACTGAATGGTTAAAGCAGGGCACAGAGGCCTTATGACTCCAAATCAGTGCTAGAGTCAGACTGCTCAATGTTATTAGTATTCTGCCAGGATAGTCAAGCTTGGGCATTGTCTTCTTACCCATTGTAGCTATTAGGAAAATCATACTTGACTGTGTAATTTCTGAGAGAAGGAAGGGACTTGGAGGACTGTGGTAATAACAGAGAAATAGTTATTAACCTTTAGGGGCTTGGGAACCTTCTATTCACCCTCCGTCCCTTTATAAGAAGATCAATGGCCAAACAAAGCACTGATTCCCTCAAATGAGGCACTCACTCCCTAACTCTACAAGAAAGGTTAGGGAGAAGCTGAGCTAGAGAACATGCTTAGGCCAGGAGGCCCAATAAGGTCTCTTTCTTCCTATGAGTTAATAATACCTGTAAAACACACAAAAGTGACAGTAACCATGACCCTTTCCCCTAGGATCTAGGAATCCACTCCACCACATACGAACCCAAGGTTGGGACAGTGGGAGAAGGAACTTGCTGTCCCTGGAGGCACAGGGGACACTGACCCTATAAAGTAGATGGTATTATCCCAATTTTACAGGTGAAGAAACTTCGGCACAGCTGAAGCAAATTGCCCAGGGTCCTCTGGCTGTGGGAGCAGAGCTGGGATTTGAACTAAGGTCGGCTGTTCCTGACACATTCCCCCTTCTAAAGGTCCCCATTGTGTGCCCCCCAGCCTGCTGACAGGGAAGTTCTGCTTACCTCCACAAGCAGTGACATTACAAGGAAGTGAGACATAGGGAGTGTCTGGCCAGAGGTCGTGTAATCACTTGCATGTTTTTCTTGTAAGCATGTGTCTGTGTGTCCTTGTAATTAAACACAACTAAAAGGTGGAAGGGGGCAATCTGTGTGCAGGTTTGTGACATGGAGAATAGCCTTTGATCATCGCTAAGAGAACTAGGCAGCTGGCTACTATGTCCTGAGAACTGACAGGTCTTGGCCCCTGCAGAAGGAACGTCCTTCATCAGCCATACTCTACCACTGGACCTCACTCTTCCCTGGGTGGCTCCACACCCAAAGACCCCTGACACGTAGGCTGGTCAGGGGCCCACAGCGCGGCCTGCTAAGGAATTATGGGCAGGGACCAATCACATGCTCAGTCTCTGGGATCATTTTGGCAACAGAGACAGCGGGGCTGCGAGCAATGGGGATGAATTGCTGAGAGAATCTGGAGGTGGTGAAGCTTCAAGTGTCTGGGCAGGAAGAACGGCACTGCAGCACTGCTGGGATGGAGAACGTGGCAGAGCGGGGTGAGGATAAACTGGCAGGAGGTGACACACACGCAGGAGGGCAGAGCCAAGGCACAGGGGAGGCATTACAGCAGTTGATGCTTAACCTGCCTGCACCTAAGAATCGTCCGCAGAGCAGCTGACAAGTAGTGGGGCCTGTGCTCATCCCCTGAGATTCTACTTAATTGGTGTGGAGTGAGAACTGGGGCAGTAGGATAGAAATCTTCTCAGATGATGGGGCATGGTGGGGCAGGCCTGTAATCTCACCACTCAGGAGGCTGAAGCAGGAGGATTGCTGTGAGTTTGAGGCCAGCCTGGGCTACATAGTGAGTTCAAGGCCAGCCTGAACTGCACAGTGAGACCCTGTCTCAAAGAACAAAAGTAAGATGAATCTAATCGAAGGGAAAGCCAGGGAGGAGAACCACAGGCCTTCAGAGAAGTTCCTTGGCCTCCTGAGTTCCTGCTGCTGAGTTCATGGCTCTACAGTTCATCCCCACCTCTCTGGGAGCCCTCAGGGTTCAGATTCTCCTGGGTTCACTGGCAGACACTTCTGGATATTCTATCACTTGCAACTCCTGTCTTATTCTTTCCTAACAGAATCCTGATTTTGTGCAGGTATTGGGCCAGTGCTATCGTCAAGAAAGACGGGCCCAATCCCAGAGGACACGACCTAACTGGTCCACTCATGACCATCCCACCCGTCCTTCCCATCTTAGCAAATGATTATGGGAGCCCGTTCTGAAATGCGGGGTAGGGTGGGTGCTTCTGGGAAAGATTTTATCTTTATTAGAGAGAGAGAGAAAGAGAGACAGAGAAAGGCAGAGAGAGAGAGAGAGAGAGAGAGAGAGAATGAATATTGAAGAAATGCTTATCCCTTCCAGACCTTGGAAATTATGTTTGCTAATATAATGATATAATACCTGGAGCTTCAGGAGCCATCTGTGACTATGAGGAAGAAACTAAGAGAACTGCAAAGAGGCTGACCTGAGCCCTTGTGTGACTACTGCTCAATTAACCAACCCAGCAACCACCTACTTCTAAATTTTTTTATTGCTTACTATGAGCCAGGTACTATCCTAAGCACTTTTCATATATCAATGAATGGGACCCTTAACAGCCTGGAGGCTTAACAACCCTGCCTGTGAGAATGACGAAAGCCCTCTCCCTGCACCAGTACCCCACAACCCCACAGCCTGGGGGATCAGAATGAGCTCTGTATCCAGCAAGAGCCCCTTTCTGTTAGCTATGCATTGCTCCAGCAGTCAGTGTGTCTTGTGGGGCAAAGGTCTAACATGTACTGTGAGGATTTGAAAGCTAGTAAAAAGACAGCAACAGGCCTCCGAGGTGGAGAAATCTGTGTCTGCAGGCTGCAGCCCCACCGTGTGTACTGCCTCTCAGTAAAGACAGTGTTCACGCTGTGCTGTGTTCAGAGTGCTTTCTCCGGGTGCCTTTCTTGTCGCTCCACAAAGCTCACTGACTGGCTCCCCCCACCGCCTTTCCTTTCACCCCTCACTGATGTCACTACTCTTACTCCGTTACATCCCTCTCTCCTCTTCTTCAACCTCACAACAACGGGACATGAGAATGAGAGAAGTGGAGCACCTCCTTCCAAAGCCCAACTCCGGTGTCACAAATTTTAAAATCTGGATTCTGAGGCAGTGGAGAGTTCCTCAATATTAGTCATTGTTCTCAACACCTTAGGTGATTCTCCAAAGTGGGTTTTCCTTTCCCACTGTCTCATTCTTCTCTGCCTAAGCAGTCCCCTAAGAAAGAGTCTCGTGGCCTCCTTGGCTCTGCCCCAGGACAGCGGTCAGGATCTGCAGAACGACGGGGTGCACACCCCTCTCAGCAGTGACCACACACCTGCTCCCCCATCTTCACAGCTCTCCTTCGTGAGCTCTGAGTTGCTCAGCACTGACTCAGCCTCTTGACTCAGGTCCAAAGAACATCATGGAACAAACAGTGGCTACAGACTTTATTTTCTGCCCATCAAGGTGAGCACACATGTCTGGACAGGCAGAGGTCTAGGAGATGCAGGGTCACAATTACCTGCCTTGGTCACAGACACAGATCAGAAAAGGGGTCTTATTTCTACCACAAATCGCTATGGGATTATCACAATGAAACATTTGTTCCCAGTTCTATTTACATCATGGAGTGTGGAGAGGGATACATTTCTTACACAAAATATATATATGTATACACACACACACACACACACACACACACTTTGAAATCTCTAAAACAAAAATATCTCTATCTCTACATGAGACCTACTATAAAGAAGAACATAGAAAATAAGGGACACATACCAGCACCTCAAATTGTCCCCTTCCGTGGGAAGGTTGCTCTGCCCTGCACCTGACACCCTTAACTTGGAAGGGCAGCCATTTCTAACCAACCAAACAGACAGACACAGAGAAACAAGAGGGAGGCTTATCATCCCAGAGGAGTGAATACGGAGGGAGGGAGGGAGGAAGAGGAGACGGATTTGGCTTCTTTTACAAAAGGAGTAATTGCACATTCAGTTTGCTGCTTCTGTTCCCAGCATTATTGCACATGTGAAAAACACAGAAAAAACCCCTACATGTTGAAGTCATCCGCAAATCTGCTCAGAGAAGCCCAAGCTTGTTTCTGGGGGCTCCGAGAAGTGTTCTGAGTGGGTTCTCCCTCTCTCTTAGGAAAAATTAATGCTATCAGCTAGAAGAAAAAGTTCTGTATTCTCCAATGCTGATAGTGGGCTAGATTTAAGAAAAATGTTGGTCCTTTCCTCTTCCGAAGGATCAGAAACCATTCCACTCCTTTTTAGCACAGAATCTCCTAAAAGAATCATGACTCTGGATGAATCATTCTGCTTCCTGAATTCTCCTTCTGAAAAGGGTCACGTAACAGTCTTTCCCTCTTTTCACACTTCAAGCAGTGATATAGTTACTTCACAGTTCTCTTGGTTATGAAAATTACCCTTCTGTCTGATGAAAAAGAGTCAGCCGCTCATCCTCGATAATTAATGTTAGGAGACTGGTACACCAAGAAGTATAAGGGATAGGGTTAGTAGAAAAAGTCCCTCCACTTGGCTATGGCAAGCCTTATGTTTACACTGAAATGTGGAGGAACCTAAGGGCTTGAGAACCCTCAGTCCCTCCCTGTGAATGAGGAAAATAACCCTAAAACCCCCTTTTCAAGAAGCTCCAAGACCAACCAACCCATAGATCTCACCACCCCAACTCAGGGTGGTTTCAGGACCTCTGATCAAGAACTTGCTCCCTCTGAGGAGAATGTGAAAGACTGAGGACCAAGCAGATGGCGAGGAGGACAGGTACTTGAAAAGCTGAGACAGTCAATGGGAGGGAATTAGATGATGTTGCTTGGCCAGCCACGGCCTGGTGAAAGGATTTCTACCCCAGGGGAGCCCCAACAGCTACCGCCAAAAGAAAAGTAGATTGAGAACACTCAATGCAGGGTTCCTGAATATTCTGCTAAAATGTAGCTTAGAAACCTGAGAAGTGTGAGTAAAATACAGGGACAAACTAGCAATGGCAACAACAAAACTTCAGAGACAGACAAAACAGCAGAGAGAACATACTGGATAGCGTTTCTAATGCTGGTAAAAAAAAAATCCCAGGGCCTTGGGACCAAGCTTGCTCCTATGCTTCAAGAAAACTTGAGGTGCAGAACACAGAAATCAACAGAGTAGATGTAGGGAAAATTACTGATTTGATTACTAAGAGAGAGTCTGGAGGGTTGAGTGAGTCGAAAATAAAAAAGAAGCCAGGGATTTAGCTCAGTGGCACCATACCTGCCTCGCAAACACAAGGTCCTGAGTTCAATCCCCAGTACCAAAAAAAAAAAAAGAAGAATTAGGAATTGTCATTTTTCGATGGCCAGATACTACAGATTTCCCAGACCATAGACCTTTTGAACATCACAGTCATCATAGCTCGAGCTCTCAACTAAGCCTGAAACACAGAATATATCAAATTTTTATCCAACATTTCTGACTGTCTTACAAGGCAGTCACATCACAGCCAAAAAGAAAGAATAACTTTTTACCTTATCTTTTGAAAAACATGGTTCACTTTCCTTCTCTCTCAAAGGCAAGTTTCTATAAATAAAAGGATGGGGATAGGTGATGTATATGGTAAAGAAAAGATTTCTTTCTTTTTTTTTTTTTTTGGTACCGGGGATCGAACTCAGGTCCTTGCGCTTGCGAGGCAGGTGGCAGAACCACTGGGCTAAATCACCAGCCCCAAGAAAAGATTTCTTGACAGTCCTTCAGAAGTTGGAAATCTGTGGCTGCAGGTTGGACACACCTGCATGCCGGGGTTTCAGTGAACAGAAATTGTTTTGGCTCCATATAAAATATAACATTAATGTATATATGTAACACAATTTCCTTTGTTTAATTTTTAAAAATTTTAACATAGGCATGTCTAACTGGTGGGCTGCAGGTTGGACATGCCTGAAAATTTAGACCAGCCTTTCTCTAAAAGCAATGACCAGAAGGCAATCCGGCCACTTAGCAACTACACTTCTTTTTCCTTAGAACCAAAATTCTACATACCATCATTTTCTTAAATCCCTGGCCTCTCTCCCTCCTTACTTTGACACCTCCGGTCTGTCAGGGCACTGACCTGCCAACACTCAAACTGTTGCTTCTATTTCCCTCATCATGAAAGAGGGGGCCACTTCCTTGGCCCAAGCAAATATGTGCATGAAAATCACCAAGTAACCTGCCTTGCTTTCTACTCCTAAGTCAGTTTATCCTTCATGTTGAACTTAAATACCATTTTTTACAGATTAATCTGCTTGTATTTGTCCTCATGGTATTTATCAGAGACATCTGAGATATAAATCCCCTAGATGAGAAAAGGACCACATTTTTTTTTTATGTTCCTGCAGCTTGGCGCACAAAAGCTTATTAGTATCGATGAATACTTGTGTCTACGTTCTTACGCATTCACATTCACACACACACACACACACACACACATGCACACGCACTGTGCTGCTTCCCCATCATTCCCAGTTTCTAACCCCATATACTGCTCAGCTTGACTCTGCTCCATGGTCATCAGCCATAGAGCTAAGCAAGGAAGCGGCTGGGAATGGAATTGAGTGTTTGGCAGGAACTGGGAAAGAGGAAGGAGTAAGAGTAAGGAATTGTTCCTATTATTAGATGTACCAAAAATGGGACTGGGTATTGTTTGAGAAGAACATAACAACTGAGTAGCACAGCTTTCCAAAATGGCTAATGTACCTATGAAGCAATGACGTGGGAGAGTCTGCTGGGGAAGGACTCAGAAGTGTATTGTGGTCCATAACTGTACTGCACAGAGCTAACACAGGCTGCTTCCTTGCCCCAGCAGCTTAGCAGGTACAAGGCAGCACAAGACGTCAGAGGATAGGGAGAGACATTTTTCTGAGGGATTCTGTCACTGGTTTTGTTGCACAATGGGCTTTTCCCTGTTTCATCCTTTCCAGGTGCACTGAGATGAGGGAAACAGGTGAAGTTGTCACCAACTTCCTCACACAGAAGGTGAAAGGAAAGTATGGGAGAGGCAAGATGGAGCAAGAACGGGGGCCTGTTTTAAGGGGAAAAAATGATGAAAAAGAAGCAAGCTCAAGAAAGTAGCCAGGGATGGAAAGCAAAAGTCACCAAGAAAGCTTTTCCCACTGACACGCTGCCTTTTGCTTTTTTCACACTAAGTAGGTAAGGGGTATAATTGCAGATTTGCTGTAATGTGATAAAATGTGAAGCTTTGGCTCACAAAGATTTGAATGCCCATCTATTTCAAAGAAGCATGCCTGATCTTGTCTGTACCATACAAAGGGAAGCCAAGGCTGACCCTAAAACAGCCTTATGACTAGAATCAGACCAGACAAACCAGGAAAAATACCACAAGTGATGTCACTTTAATATCTGAAAGCAGCGTGACATTCAGCCAACAGACCCTGGTGCAACGATACACACTGCCTGTCTGGAGCCGACACCTATTCTGAGTTGTTGGTGTCTGTCCTGCACCAGTTGTTAAATATTTTGAAAATCATCTCTGCATTAAAATAACTATGTCCCTAAAAGTTAGTGAAATTTGGGGAAAAAGCAAGGTTCCTACAACCTCAATCAAAAGTCTTTAGAGTACTAGACTACATTAATATATTTTGAGAGTCTAAGGAATGCAAAACTCAATATAATGTTGTTGCCAACTCTGCATCTATGAAAGTAAAGCACATTGGGGATTTTCCCACTGCACAAAGATTTTCCAGGATGAAAAACTAGTATGATTGAATTCCCTGGGTGCTAATGGGCTGGCTAGTCACATTCTGTGCTCAAAGACAGGGAAGGTCTATATATATGCACTAGAGCCCAGACCCGTGACGTTCATTGCAACATAGAAGAGAAAAGCCATAAATGTAGTTTAAAACTGAAGTTAACTTTGCCATTTATAGTTCGTTTCCCGGAGAAGCTTTTTACGTCTAAGAGCCAGAACTTTTGTCAACCAAAAGAAATCCATGATGATGAAGAAACCACATGGCTGAAGGTAGTTTTGGTCCATTGAGCTGATGATGGTTCACTACTAAGGCAGCTAAGGAGACAGTACATAAGCACTTGGATCTCTCCAGGATGGAATTGGAATGTTTCCTCAAAAGACAGCAGCAAGACATCAAACAGTTCCACAAAACAGCCAATAAAAACACCATATCCCTCTTTCTAATCACAAACAACTGTAATCAAATCTTTTCTAGATATCTAGAAAGCACACTCTATGACAAATCTTCAGGCTATGTCGTCCTTCCTGGCATCTAAACTAATCCCTTCTGTAGCAATTTAGGCTCATTCTCTTACTCCATCCTCAATAAAAACCAAGAGAAGCTGCTCATCCTCACTTGTCGTTACTAATTTTTCCCCAACTCTTTTCATAAATAAGCTGAACAACTCCAATGTCCTCCTTGACCCTTGTATCTTCCACGGGTCTCACTGAGTTGTGCAGACTGCTGCTAGGGAGTGATAAAGACACTCCAGTTCAGAGGCATATCCTGGCTGTGCTGGTAGGCACTGCCAATGCCCAGATGGCTCACCTCCTGACAGCAGAGTCCTGACAGCCTTGGGGTCTCACCAGCGCCCTCCACCCAGGGCCTCAGCAATGGAGCTGAGACCCAGGGCCACCTAGGAGCTTGCAGATACCAACAGGACTGGGACCTTCCCCTTTCTTTCTCCTGCTACTCACCCACCCATCCTTTAGGAAGAGGGACCTCACTTAAGGAATCCTCAGTGGTAGAAGGGATCCATGTGCCTCAGTAGGCCAGCATAGTTTCAGAGAAAATGTCTGAAAAATGGGAAGCTGGGTCTTTAATGGTGGCAGTCCTGAAGAGAAAGGAAGAAGAGAAAGACCAACAGGAAGTGGTCTTCTGCTTCCACGCTTCTATCTGGTGCCTGGCTGCTGGTATGGGATGGCAGGACGCCCTCCAGTGCACACCAGGAATGACTGAATGCATCAGCAAGGCCTGAGATGACCAAAGATGGGGCTAGACTTGGTCTTCATTCTTCTCCGAGAGACTCACCATTTTCTCTGTAATCAAACTCTCTTGAGCACCTCATGGCCCAAATCTTCCATCCCGGCAAAGACTCTTAGTTGAAGAGACTGAATAAAAGTGTTACAATGAGACAAAAAGGGAACACATGATTCATTCCTGCTTTTAACACAATACTTTGAAGATGTCACCACAATTTGGATCTGGCTGTATTTTAAGTTCATTTACAAGTAGACTAGTTCTCAACTAAAAATAACTGTTCGGTATACCGTTCGACAGCTGCCTGGATTTTCCACTGAAGGAAATAAGATTCTATATTTCACTCACATTCAGCACAGATTTATTTTAACCTATTCGATGAAGATATAACCATTGCCACTCAGTGAGGACTTTTTCAAAGTTGTCTTTTTTTTTTTTGCTACGGCCATTGAACTCGGGACCTTGTGCTTGCGAGGCAGATGCTGGAATCACTGAGCTAAATCCCCAGCCCCTACAGCTGTGACTTTTTAAATCACTTCAATTTCTCCTCACAGCAACTTCATTATTATCCCCATTTTACTGGTAAGTAAACTGAATGTCAGAAGTGGTACTATGCCACTTTATACGTGGAATTAAGAGCAGGAACTTATTTCCTCATTCTCTAGCTTTAAAATTTTTTTGTTGTTAAACTACAAAAGTCACCTCAAATAAGGCCTCAGTTTTGCCTTCAGTTTTCTGACACACTGTTTTTGACTAAATTCAAGTAATTTGAACACACAGCCTACCACATTGCAGGCAAGGATACCTAAAGTCTTTCTATTTTCATTAACCTGATCAAAACTGATCTATGCTATTAGAAAATGATATATAGAATTTGGTTTGTAAAATAAGAAGGCAGTTATAATATTTTTAAATCTTGGCATTAATTCTCATTATGAAAACTCAGATTTTAATTTTAATTTTTTTTTTTTTTGATCATGGTACTAGGAATTGAACCTAGGGCCTTCGCATAGAGCTACATCCTCAGCCCTTTTCTTATTTTCACTTTTTTATTTTGAGAAAAAGTCTTGCCAAGTTGCTAAGTTGCTCAAGTTGGGCTTGAATTTGTAATCCTCCTATCTCAGTCTCCAGGAGTGCTGGGATTACAAATGTATGCCACCATACCCAGCTAGTAATTCTCATTATGGAATAACTTAAATAGGTTAAAGTCGGTATCAATACTATTAATATTGTCTGTGTTGACAGTAATAATGCTTTTAGCAATTTTTCAGTTTGTGTGCTTGCAATAACCAGAGATGCCCTTTAGCTTTCAAAATAAGAAGTACAAAGAGGATTAAGGGAACTGAACAGATAAAGCAAATTTACATTCCAAAATAATTCCATCTGGCCTTTGGACCCATGTAAAAGGGCAGCTCAAAACAGCCTATCTCTTTAAATATTTAGAACCATTTTTACTTTTTTCCTCTTAGGCTTACAGCTATTCTCATAGGGTTGGCAGCAGTCTTTTTTTTTTTTTTTGCGGAAGTCTTAAAGTACTGCTTATTAGACAAATTCAATCTAACAGCTAAAACACATTTTACCTTCAACATTATTGTCATTTTCAAAGTCAGAAATAAAAATCAGAAATTGTAGTTCTCTTTACCTTTTTTCCTTTGTATTTCCAGAATTCATACTGAGAGCTTTCCAGACTGTGGTTTTAGGCATTTCATCAGATATATTGATCTCCGAAGGGTCACATCTGAAATCAATGCTTAGGACAGTGAATGTTAGACGTATAAGCAAAACCCGTACTTCAGTCTGTAATGACCACCACTCCACTAGAAGGGCAAAGACTGGATTTGAGGGAGCCCAGCTAACAGCTCTCAGGAGCTCTGGGAATCAGATGGACTCTGGTTCCTATAGCCACTGAGGTTGGAATAGAAAGAGGCACAATAGCTAGGCTGGTGTTCCAGGTGGTGGCTGCTCCTCCAAAAGAGTTCACTGCAGATGTTGATGACATCGTGATGCCAACAGCATAGCATCAGGAGCTACCATTTACTGAGTGCTTACTGTGTGCCAGGCACTCTTCACTCATTTCCTCATTTTCACAGCTGAATCAAAGGACTTTCACACTATGTTATCTTAACTATCACAACAACAGAAGTTAATAGCATCCTCCTTTTGAAGGTGGAGAAATTAAAACTCAGAGGGCTACGTGCTTGTCTCAGATCAAAAAGCAATAAGTGGAGAATCAAGACCTTAAATCAGGTCCTTAGTCCCCTAGAGGCCCAGAGAACTCTGAATTCTTTCATAGGCCAAAGGGGCTCCTTCTAAAATACCAAGAAAGGAGACAACATTCTGCTAATGAAGGAACATTGCTCCTCCTGTGCCACCAGAGAATTCAAAGCATATAGCTTTTTCCACAATGACTTATAGGAAGGTTATAAGGACAAAGAAAAAAGACTTTCATAATCTACCCACAGTATAAACCAGCCAACTGGTCAGTTGGTTTCCTAGGATCCAGATGACCTAGATGCTCTGCACCTCTTTTGACCTGCAGGCTCCTTCCACCCATGTGTTCCTCTTCCAAAATGGAAACAAAATGCCATGTGTGAAACCACATATGGATTAGGTTTCTTGTGGTGATCAATAGGTTTGGTAGGGCCGGGGATTTAGCTCAGCGGCACCGCACCTGCCTTGTAAGCGCAAAGTCCTGAGTTCGATCCCTGGTACCCCCCCCCAAAAAAAAGGTTTAGTAAAGAAAGGGGCTAATTAGGGCCAAGGATTTAGCTCAGTGGCAATGTGCCTGCCTGGCAAGTGCAAGGTCCTGAGTTTGATTCCTGGTACAAAAAAAAAAAAAAAAAGAAAGAAAGAAAGAAAAAGAAAGAAAGGAAGAAAGAAAGGGGCTATCTGATTGGCAGAAGGAATGCATTTTTGTAATCCCAGTTCAATTCCTCCTGGGCTCCTTGAATTACAGATCCCATGAGCCAGGGTAGAATGGGCTGTCTTTGCTTATCTCCAAAGGAAGGCCCAAGAGTGGGCATTTCATGACCATAAGGCTGAAAACTCTTTGGAAATAAAGACCACATCCTATTTATCCTATTTATTTTTGGAAGTGGCAAAAAAAAAAGGCAAAAAGAACACACAGACCTGGGTTTGAATCTTAATCTTTATGCTTAGCATCATAACCAAGGGCAAATTATTTAAAGCCCTGTAAGCCTCAGTTTCCTCACTTGTACAAAGGTAGATAAGGAGATTGATCTCAGAAAATGGTTGTAAAGACTGATGGAAACGTTTTGCACGTCCCTGGCACAGAGGAAGACATTCAGGATACCGGCTCTTCTATCTTTCTTCTCCTGTGACTCCCAGTATCTGGCGGAGTGCAAGGCACAGAGTAGGCCTTCAGTCCACAGTGAAATGGAACAAGAAGACTGAATGGTTAGGTCTTTATACCAGCAGCTATATTTTTGGCAACACCCCCAACCACAAGGCCAGAACATTTAGAGAACACCCCAAAAATAAACTTGCTGTTTTGGGAGATTTACCTGAAACTGTTGTTTTTTCCAGGACTACTTAGTAACTTTCTGCTTTCTAAGGGGAACTTGTCTCCCCCCATTTCTAACATTTTCTCAACCTCCTGGAAGAAAAGAAGACATTATTTTATCTTGGACCAAACAAGATCATGAGTCTTCACCAGCCCACTCATCTACCACCACAATTTCTACCTAATTTTCTCTTATTTACTATAAGAGTATAATTATGTTATTTCATAGGTTTAACTCATCACAAAAAGAGAGACATATTTGCACACACAGAATATTATTGAAAAAAATTAAAAAGAACCTAAATCTGAGTAAACCTCTACATTCAGTGACCAATTTACCAGAAATACAGGGAACAGAACACGTTAGATGACACCAAGGAAGATATTTAGAAAAATCCACGTGGTAGGGACCACATAGGTAAAAAATCTTATTTCTTTCTTCTGAGAAAAGGAAAAAAAAATGGAAAGGGAACCCCTAAAGAAATGTTAACAATATATTAACCAACTGCAATATGCAGACTTTCTTTAGATACCAATTAAAATAAGTTGTTAAAAAACATAATAGGGCCAGAGATTTAGTTCAGTGGTGCTGCTGCCTGCCTCACAGCGCAAGGTCCTGAGTTCAATCCCCAGTACCAAAAACAAAACAAAACAAAAAAACAATAATAAGGCAATTGGGGAAATACGAACATTGACTTTTCTTTCTCCTTTTGTATATATTTACAATGTTCCATAACAAAGTATTTTCTTGAAAATAATACCACTACCTTAAATGAAATAATTACAGCAAAAACATATATAAATGTGTTTAAAGTAATATAATAATAAAATGTAAAAGAGCTAAACACTTTACTAAGGGAAGAGTACTTAAATTATTACTGTAATACTATAGAATATTGTGTGTTTATTAAAATAATAAATGTATTATGTAAAAACACAGAAACATGAAAGTCTTATGAAATCAAGTTGAGGGGGAAAATCAGAGTATCAGTATGTATCTATTTATATAGATATACACAGATATATGCCAAAAATATATAATTATGACTCTTGTATGAAAACCATGTTAAGGATATGAAGAGACCATAAATGAACATAAATGGTGGATGCTGAGATACTGAAATTTTGGAGTCAAATCTCTAGCTTTATTTCATTTGGCCTTTAACATAATTGCATAAAGTAACACACATGTATTAACAAATACATGTTTATTTCAGAAATTTTGGAAAATAAGGAGTACAATGTCTACCAGCCACCTTGAACTTAGCATCCAAAGAGATTTCTTGATTTTTCTCTCAAATCTGCTATTTCTTGGTCCTCCTCATCTTTATAAACAGCATATAGAGTTGTTCTTGATTCTTCTCTTTTATCTATGCCCACCAGTCACTAGCAAAACCTGTTGGCTTCATCTTCACAATAAGTCCCAAATTCAGCCACTTTCACCACCTCTACCTTAGCCTAAGACACCATCACTTCTTTCCTGAACTGGTGCCACAGTCGCTTTACTAGTCTCCAGGCTGTCACTCTCTTCCTTCCAGCCTAACTGGCTTTCTTGGTGTCCTTGAAGCACACCGAGCCCATTCATACTTCAAGACCTTAGCATTTCCTGTTCCCTTCACTTAGAATGCTCTTACAGATATTCTCATGAAGTGCCTCTCACTTTATTCAGGGATTCAGGGCTCTGCTCAGATGTCTCCCTAGAAGAATCATCTGTAATCACCCTAAATAAAGTAACTCCTTCACCCTTTACACTCTTCTTAAAATATATCATTACCTAAAATTTTACATATATATGTGAAAAATGTATAATTATACAGATATAATTATGTTTCTACATAAAATTATAACACATAAGCAATAAAACAAATGGTGTCTCCCATGAGAATGTAAGCTCCAAGAGGTCAGAGACTCTGTCTTGTAAACCACTGGGTTTAGAAAGTGAGAACAGAGTAAGCATTCAGGAAATATTTGAGGAAAGAAGGAAGAAAATAAATTGATTTTTTAAAAAAAATTATACTCATCACACAGTACCACAATAAACATTTGGTCTATTTTCTTCCAATCTTTTTCTAACTTTTTGTGTGTATTGTTTTAAGTAAAACAGAGAGATTCTTACTTTATGTTTCATTTTGTATTCTAACATAAAATAATCATAAACATGTTCATCTATTATTAAGCGTTCTTTAAAACTGGATTTTAAAACGGTTGCCCAATATTCAATTGTCACACATTTACTCTAATTTTCCTTCTTTGCAGTTGTTTTATATAAACATAACTAAAATTTTTTGTCTCTGTTTCTTATACATCCTTAGAACAAATTTAAAAATTAGAATTGCAGGCCAAAGGGCATACACATTTTTTTAAGACAGGGTTTCACTATGTTGCCCAAGTTGTCTCGAACACCTGGGCTCAAATGATCCTCTTGCCTCTGCTTCCTGAGTCCTGCAGCTACAGGTGCATGTCACTGTACCTGGCTTGGGCACATACATTTTTAAGAATCTACTATAAACTTGCTATTAAAGAGATTAAAATTTATCCAATTTATACTATCACTTTTAGTGTATGAGAATTTCAACTACAGTGTTACCAACACTAGTTCTTTTTCTTTCGAAAAACCTTGCCAATTTGATAAATGAAAAATGTGCTCTCCTTACTTCAATTTCCATTTCTTTGTTGGTTAAATGAGCTTTTTGTCATAAAGTAATCAGCAATCTGTACTTTTTCTTTTGTAAATTATCTATGTCCCTTGCTCATTTTCATTCCATTATTCTTAATTTGAAGGAATTATTTGAATAGTAAGGATATTAGCACATCTCAATGACATTTAAAAATTTTGTAAAGCTTCAGATACCTGAAAGTTTCACATTTGATGTAGCAAATTCTATTAATATTCCCCTTAGAGCCTTCTTTTTGGCTGGGGATGTACTTCAGTGGTAGAGTGCTTGGCTAGCCTGCAGGAAGCCCTGGTTTCAACTCCCAGCTTCGAAGTTTTCTTTCTTTGCTTTCGTATTTAAAATTGTTAAAAATTACTTAATAATGTAAGATTTTTATAATTCAGATATTAGAAAAATGTATTTTGCAATGTATTTCAAAGGACACTATTTGGGAACTCACTATATTTGGAAACACTTCCTAGCACATTCACTTCTTGGTCTAGTATTTTCATTTTGCTACACATCCTTTTCTTGCACATGTAGACCATTTATTGAGGTCCCTTTTGTAGATGACAGTGTGCCAAGTGCTGAGGGAAATGAAGGAGAGAAAGTCCTATGCAAGTTATCTTTGCACCTTGCCAAATAGCATCAACTGCCAATAAGTATAAAACACAGAAAATAATGGGGTTTTATATACTTGTCAAATTAGACGTTTTAGAATAACTTGAGCCATTGGATCTGATGAGAACAGATACTATATTCATATTCTAGGCATGAGCCCAGCGAATACACATTAGAAAACAAAGAGGAATACTACTGATTAAGAAATCCAAACATGAAAGGCAAACAGAAGCAAGAACTCTCAATATGTTAAGCATGATGCTGCACACCTGTATCCCAGCAGTCAGGAGGCTGAGGCAGGAGGCTCACCATGAGTTCAAGGCCAGCCTGAACCACATAGTGAGATTCTGTTTCAAAAAGTCAAAACAAAACAAAAAACCCATTAAAGAACCTCAATGCATTCTCAGCTGAGAATATCTTGGGATAATCTTCCCAGGTCCTAAATATAACTTGGGATTCCAGACATGCTGACCTTTCATGTGGCCCTTCCTATGTTTTGTAATTTGAGGCCCCAAAGTACAGAATTACTACAAGGACTATGACCTCTTCCTCCTTGGCCTTCTTTTTGGCATCATCCAACTTCTTCTTTTTGCTTTCAGGCATGAGATCATCTAACCAGCTCAGCTCTCGCTTAGAGAAACAGAGATCCATGACTTTCCTGACAAAGACCAAGGCCAAAACCTAAAAAAAAAGAAAAGAAAAGAAAGAAAGTGAGTTACAGGAACTAATTTCCTTCCTGGAATTAAAATCCAAGTCTTATTTTTCACAGATGACTAGGACTTTTCCAGCAATATCAAACTCATAATAGTCCTAACAGTTGCCATTTATTGAGCACTCTCTTTGTGCTAGATACTGAGGTATTTTGCACAGAGTATACAACGGTCACCATAACAACTCTACAAATCAGAGAGCAACTAATTTAATTCCCTCACTGAGAACAAAAGCTCATCATCTGTAGATAGCCCAACAGCTGCCTTCCCTGGAGGGGGTCAGCAGGAAGGGATACAGGGGGTGGAGAGCCCCTGCAGGAGCATGGGCATAGTGGGCCAGCCATACCCAGTAAGCATGCCTCACACTGGAATGACAGAAGCTCGGAGGACTCTCCCTCTGATCCTATGCCTGTACCCTCCCCTCAAATTCTTGCTTTACGTCTGCACTGTGAACCTGTAGGGGATTTTGATTCTACTTTCTGGCCTAGCCTGACACTCATTTGATAGGGAAGGAAACTGAAGCCCAGAGAGAGCAATGCTCTGGCTAAGAATCTCATGGCAATTTTTCCAGTAGAAGTAGGTCCAGGGTATCTCAGCTGCTGCTCCACTTTTTCTCCATGAGGGCCTTTAAAATTGTTTTAAATTTTTATAAGTACATGTTTGTAGTATATAATGACTACATTCATTGTGGGCAGTTGGTACATGTATATAACACATCTTTGTTCTTTTTTTAATCCCCTTTTTCTCCCCTTCTTCCTCATCCCTCCATCTCTTGGCCCCTTTTCCATTTGAGAAAGGTCTATCTTTCGGTTTCCTATTGTCTATCTTTTATTTTTCTCTTTAATTTATCTATATTTTGGGTTTCTCATATAAGAGAAACCATGTGATATTTAAGCTATGTGATTTATTTCACTTAACATATGGTCTCAAGGTGCATCCATCTTCCTAAAAATTTGTCCTTCTTTATGGCAGAGCAGTACTGTAGGCAAAGAGAACCTATAACAATCTAGAACAACTTGCCTGGGTAGATTAGTGTTCATCAGCTACATCTGGTGGCTGGACAAGGAATGGGGCAAATCAGGCTTATCAAATTTAACCATATTTCTCTCTAATTTTAATGACTATTTTCCAAATAAATCCAAACTGATAGAATCTCTCCCAGGAGTTCCCAGGAATTTACTGTTTCTTTAACTACACACTTAATCCCTGAATATAACAGATAAATACAGAGTCTTACATGTGTTCTGAAATAAAAGATAATCCTATCTAATTCTCTAGAGAATTAGAGGAAAAAATCTAAAACAAAATTATCGTATGATCCAGCAATTCCATTCCTGGTTGTAGTCCCCAGAGAACTGATTGAAGGACACACATGGGTGCACCCATGGTCACAACAGCATTATTCACAATAGCCAGAATGTGGAAGTGACCCAGTACCCACTCATCAACAGATAATGGAAAACAAATGTGGTCTACACCTACACGGAAATATTGTTCAACCTTAAAAAGCACAAGGATAATCCTACAATAAGGATAAACCTTGACGATACTATGCTAAGTGAAATAAGCCAGCCAGAAAAGGACAAATATTGTACAGTTCCATTTACATAAGGTACCCAGTATAATAAAAGAGACAGAAGGTGGAAGAAGGTGGAACGGTGGTTTCTCAGGGATTGGCAAGAAGAGAGTAGGAAGTTATGGTTTTAATGGGTGCAGAGTTTCTATTTTTCAAGATAAAAAATGTTCTGCAGATGGGTGGTGGTAATGGTACTACAACAACATGAATGTACTTAATGTCACTGAACTGTACAATTAATACACTCCAATGTTTTTAATTCATCTTTAAGGGATTTGTTAAAATGGAAAATTTTATGTTATATGCAATCTACCACTCTTTTTTACTTTTTGGTATGGGGAATTGAACTTGGGACCTTGTGCTTGCAAGGCAGGCGGTAGAACCACTGAGCTAAATCCCCAGCCCTATTCTACCACAATTTTAAAAATAACAATAATAATTTGTATTTTTAAAAAAACACCTCACCATCATTGGGAAAACAATGGCAGCTGGAGAGGCCTTGATGCCCCAAAGCAGGACGAGGCAGGTGAGCTGGATAAGGGTGAAGAGGTGCACTTTGCGCAGAGGCACATGCCGCAGGTAGATAAAATCTGGCTGGTGCTTTGCAGGCATCCCAAAAAGCTTCAGACGATCAAAGAACTGAAAGGAAGGACACAACATTTATTTTCAGGAGGCCTCTCTGAGTCAGAAGCCTTGTTAAGCCCATTCATCTTTCTTACATCTCTTGCTGAAAAGTAGTTAACACTATTTTCACTGGGCAGGAATGGGAACTGAGTCTCAGTGAGAACATAAATGTCAGTCAAGATCTGAAGCTATCTTTTCTAATTCTGATTCAAATTTCTTTCACCTATCCCACACTGCAGCTCCTGAGAGAACTTCTTCTCAAGGAAAGTGGCAAACAAAATAAGCCAATTGCATATTCTGTTTACTGTCAAATCCAATGTTTTAAATTGTTCTTTAAGAGATCTGGAGCTATTTATTGATTACAGTGAAAAGATAAAGTGAAACATTATAACATAGAATATAGAAACTATGATCATCCTTAATTACAAAAAGGAGAAGAGAGACCCAGAAATTAAATACAGTAACCTGTGCAATGTCACATCAGACCATAGTATATAAGAATGACCAGTGGATATTCCATACAAACAAGAATTAGTCACCAACAGAAGAAGTGTTTATTATATCATCTAGGCTACCGAAGTTATTGACGATGGTTTCTGATTTTCTCTGTTGAAAGGACACTGAGGAATGAATTGATTGACAGGAAGAGGCAGAATGTAACAGAAAGTGATATCTGCTTGCCTGTGAACTCCCATTACTCCCCATTCTTTTCAGTAAGGCACCCCAAAGTTAAACTCCTTTCTCTCATACATTAGCTTGGTGCTGAACCTTGAGCTACCCATGTGTGGAAGACAGTATGATTTTTGACCAACCTTTCAGATCCAGGTTTACCAGCATTTGGCAAAGAACCTAGTGTCTAATACATGCCAAATAATTTTTGAATAAGTAATGAATGACTAGAACAATGACATCAAGCCAGGCCATTCTGGAAGTCTCTGTACTTTCAGGCCAACATAATTGTAGCTTGCCCTATGTCTATAGAAATTTCTAAAATAGCCCAACCAACAAGACTAGGAAATAGTTTCTCAAGAATTGGCTTGGGCCGGGGATTTAGCTCGGTGGTTCTGCTGCTTGCTTCGCCAGCGCAAGGATCTGAGTTCGATGTCCGATACCAAAAAAAAAAAAAAAAAAGAATTGGCTGTGGTGGCTTTTCTTAGAGAGCTGTCCCTCCATGGTCAGGATAGGTGAACTCACAATGAGAAGACACCTCCCTGGCTCTAGTGTACCATACCTGGATTCCCTGCAGTGAAGAAACTCCCATATAGAGGAAAACTCCATAGAGTACTGGCATTGGGATAAACTGTAGACAGAAGGCAGAAAGACCAGACATAAAATTTGATATCATGGCATGTTCAACACAATATGAACTTTCAAATCTCTGAGAATGAAATAAGTCACAAGAGTTTCATAAACATTGCATTAGTTTTTGCTGCCTTTACATAATAACTTAGAAGTAGAAGCTAACAATGATAAAAATCATTTTGTTTTGAAATGAAATGATTACATGTTAAGTTAAATCATAGGTCTCACATCTCCCCACTGTCTGGCTCTTCCTCCTCCCTGGAGATGAGTAGACAGACAGACACAATCCAAAAGCCTTGATTAAGTCATCATTTTTCTAGACACCTTCTAGCCAACCAATCTGTCCTTCTTGAAACACTACCCTCACTTGGTCTGTCATCATACCTTCCCAGTTTCCCTCCAAACTCTCTGGCAGCTCTTCTGGGCTCTGCTGCTGTCTTTTCCTCAACTCAACTTCTAAGTCCACTCCTCTCTGGACCCTCTTGTCTTGTCTTGTCTTCTCTTCTCTTTTTCCTCCCCCCTCTCTTTTTCAGTTTTTTTAGACAGGGTCATGCTATGTAATTGAAGCTGGCCTTGAGCTCACTATGTATCTCAGGCTGGCCTTGAACTCACAGCTGCCTCAGCCTCCCAAGTGCTGGGATTACAGGCATGTGCCACTATGCCCAGCCCCTCTTCTCTTGTATCTACCCTTCTCCCAAGTGAGCTCATCTACTCGCCCAGCTTTCAATATTTTATATACTTATATTACTAGTCCAGAACCCTCCTCTAGTCTCTTCACTCAGATGACTGTAGACTTCTCATTCAAATGCTAACCACCATCCTGTTCTCCACAAAATCAAAATGTAGTCTACATCATTTTAAGATATGTTATTACTCTTCACCAGATGCCCAAGTCAGAAATGTAACGGGCATCTTTGGTTTTTCCTTACCCCATTCCATATCCACCTCAGCTGGCAAGACCTTTAGATCTGCCTCTAAGATATACAGAAGCCAGGCCTTTTTACCTGTCCCTGCTACTAACTTTCTCATCCAAGCCATCATCATCTGTTATCTATAATTCCCTCTCTGATCTCTGCTTCTATTCTTCTTCCATTCTAAACACTTGTTCTCTTGGGCCAGGGATTGAGCTCAGTGGTGCCACACCTGCCTTGCAAGTGCAAGGTCCTGAGTTCGATCCCCCGTACAGAAAAATGAATAAATAAATAATATAAACACTTGTTCTCTAGACAGCTGTTGGAGTAATCTTTTAAAAATACTGTACTGGCCAAATAATGTCCCTTCCCTGTTCAAACCCCCCAAAGGTAAGCTTTACCAGCACCAGCAAGGCCCTCACCAGTCTGGTCCCGCCCCCTTCAGTCTCATCTCACTGACCTCTGCCTTACTCAGCACCTTGGAGCCACATGGCCCTGATATTTTCTAAAGCATATATCACTCTTTCCTGCTTCAGGGTCAGGCTTGACCATTTTTCTCCTCTTCCTTCATGCCATCTTCCATCACTCATGATGGAAGTTGGCTCCATCTTATCTTAAATACCATCTTCTCTGACCCTAAATAGAACCCCTTAGTTCTCTATAGCAGCAAAGAATAATATAGATCTCCTTTACATCACTTATTACATTCCGTAATTATCATGCTTGTTTTCTTTTTTTGTTTGTTTGGGGGTTTTTTGGTACTGGTTTTCTTAACTAATTTTCCTAACTACATAGATGTTATCTGTCTTACTCCCACTGGAATAAGCTCTTCCAGGACAGGAAGTTACGTATGTATCTGTTTGGTGTGCTGCTGTATTCCGAACACTTAGCAGGATTCCTGGCACAAAGGCACTCAATATTTGTCTAACAAGTGAATGAATAATTTACCTTTAAGATGGCTGTCATGAAGACTGAACAGCCCATCAGCACAAAGATCATAAGGCCTGTCACTCTCTGCTCTCGGATGCCCAAAAACTTGGGCTGTTCCCCAGGAGCAGAGCACTCAGATTCTAGCTTGAGACTGTTCACATGTGTGATAGACAAAACAGTTGCAGCCACAAACCAGGGCAGGCCCATGATGGAGCAGACACCCAGCATGATGGCCACCATCAGCAGATCCAGGTGATAGCCACAGCCTTTCTGTGGAGAAAAAGAGTACCTGTTACCATCAGCGGGCTGGCTATACTGCTGTATATAACAGGGAGCTAAGGGCCTCTGGGCCAAAACAAGAAAGGGTTCAGGGATGCCAGAGGAGTCTTGCAATCTCTCCTGCTTAGGAAGAAACAGAGAAGAAAAAGGGAAATCTTAGCCTGTCCTGTTTGCCAATACCCATTCTTTATCCAAGTGCCTCCAGGTTCTCTGAGTTTCACACATTCAAAGATCCATTACTCTCTGAAAAAGTAACTAGAGACCAACCTACATCTGTATTAGTAAACACTATAGGAGTTGGAGATGAATGTTCTTGAATTACTACAACACACCTCAGATCCTTACCAGATCTGATGTTACCTAGTCTAAGTAAGGAAAGAGTAGAGACAGAAGGCCTGTGGCACCTCACTAGTTCATGCACTAGAACTAACTCCAGTACCTAGTAACCCTGTAGTTCAAAGTTTAGTCTGGAAAACCCTTGTAATTGACACCAAAGGGAGAATACCTGCCCAAGGAGAATGCAGTTGCCCAAGTCCTGACCCAAACCTCAGGAAGACAAGTTATATAGTTGTGGACTCACAGCATGTAGCTGAGGGCCATCAAGAACTCTGCCCGCCATCTTCCCCCAGAGGTTTAAGAGAGGAGGAATGGAGTTCAAGCTTCTTTCACATCACACCACTATGCTCCACTCTAGTTTCATCTCCAAAACAATCTTTTGTTATTTAAGTGGGTAGAGAATGAAAACCCTTTATGAGCCTCTTCGAAGACTTTTTATCCAGGTTCTACAGTTCCTGGTATACATGGGCTTATCCTAAAATAAAAATGTGACAGGCTGCCACAGCATTCTTCTAAGTCACAACTTCTTGTTACCTTGAGTTTATGCTCTTTCCTGTTAATGATGACTGCTGTGATCTGCTGGTCCATGAATATCAATATAGTGCAGAGAAGAGCTGGGATAATCGCAGCTATCACAGTCCACCAGGGGTTGGGGCCAATGGGATTGATAATCCACCCTCGATCATCCCTTGTTGGCTAATGGGAAAAAAATGAGACACTATTTCTCTATTTTAAGTTAACTATAGTCATTAGGGCAAAACAGATCAAAGTGAATCACAATTATACACTTCTTTTTATTTTCATTTGAATGAGAATCCTTTAAAAAAGACAAAAAAGAAAAAAAGACATGAAATACAGCAACTCCTTGGGAAATCTATGACCTTTTGCCAAATCCTCTTTGAAATAGTCAATCCTCAATCATCACCTTGCTATGGAATATTTATTAATCCTACACTTCCTCCCACTTACTATCCAAACCCCTGTGGACAAAGAAAGCAACTTATTTCAACATTAGCCCAAGTAAACTATAATTAACAACTAAATCTGTTCTAAAAAAATTAATGACTTCCAAAGATAAATATAAATAACTTAGACCAGTGATGGTGAACTTTTTAGAGCTTTCAATGGTACAAACAGCCCACTGAGGCACACATGCCATAGGTTTGCTACCTCTGACTTAGACTATCATCTTCACTGCTCCTCTCCAGAAGCCATATAATGTGTCCATAGCACAAGTAAAGATAAAATGAAGTCAGCTGCATGACTCTCTTGGGCTTAAGTTGGATCATTCTACAGGTCCTCCCCCATTAGCAGTGCAACAGGGATCTAGAGGCTTGAGAAGAGCCCAAGATGGCTAAACTTGGACTTTTTGACTGAGGAACCCCTCCAATGCTTCTATAAAACAATTGTTCATAAAGCTTATAGTAGCTATGACATAATAAACTTTCCAAGATCCTCAGCTCCTAACCCCAGGGTACTGTGGGGAAGACGAGGTCATCATTTTTGGCAGGTGGTGTTAGAGGATAAAGGGCCAGGGAGGGAGGTGCAGGGGCAGAGCAGGCGCCAAGATGTAGCAAGCAGGTGATTTCCTGGGCTCATATGCTCAGGTTCGTTTGCTTGCCACTGACCAAATCAATGGAGGCCATATATTTTGGTAAAAATGGAAAAGGATTTATTCAAAGCTAGCTCCAAGGAGATGAGAGGGGCCCATTGATCTCAATCACCATCTCCCAGTGTACAGGTCCCATTGTCAAGATCTACAGGAAGAAACAGCATCAAAAGCTGGAAAAACATTTCAAGATAGACAGATATCCCTCCCTTGAGACCTAGGTGGCCCTGGCAGCCAGGCTGAATCTGAAGGAGTACCAAGTGCAGGTGTGGTTCAGGAGGTACCAGGCCCCCTGCCCTTGGTTGAAGCTCATCATGTGGGTGCAGCGGTTACAGGACCTACATGGCCTGTGGTCTCCATTGAGCTCACCCACTTCTTTCTCTCCTTGAGCCTCCACACCTGCCCAGCTCCTGGCCTGCATGAGAATCCCTGGCTCAAGGGCAATGGGGATCTTGCTGGCGGCAATGCCTTGGGCCTGGGGGATCCCTGGGGCTGCACTCCTACCCCAGCCCCACTAGGGCCTCCCCAAGCTCCACACAGTCCTGGATGCCTTTTGGAGACTCTGTCTCCACCATAACCTCCAGGTTCCAGGAGGGGGCCACCTCTGGGGACCAGGACACATCAGGCCCAAGACTATGCTGAGTCTGCAGGGGGGACCTGTGCCCCAGGGCAATGGAGCCTCATGCTGGGTCCTTCCGCCTTGGGAATGTACCCTCAACCAGACACATCCCCAACTCCTCATTTGGGTCCCATAGGAGCATTTTTGTGAATTTGTAGGACTAGTGATGCTCATGGATGTGGCTTTTGTTTGTGTTTTGAGGCATTCCTGTGCAGCCCAGGCTGGGCTTCAACTCATGATCCTCCTGCCTTGGCCTCCCTCTATGCTGTGATTATAGGTGTGTGCCACCTCATCTGACTCCTTTTTTTATTTTTTATTTTGATATTGGGTCTTGCTAGTCCTGCTAAATTGCTTAGGCTGCTCAAACTTGCGATCCTTCTGCCTTACTTCCCAGAGTGGTGGGATTACAGGCCTGCACCACCACAATAGGCTCTTTTTCATTTTGAAACAAGGCAGCACTAAACTGCCCAGACTGGCTTTGACTTTGGAATTCCCTCATCCTGCCTGAGTCTCTGGACTAGCAAGGATCACAGACATGTGCTATCTTGCCCTACTCAACTTTCCTTATTTTTGCCTTCTAGAGTTAATGCTTTTGTTTCCCCCTTGTTTAAGAAATCTGTATGATGTGGTCATAAGAGTATTCTGTAATCTTTAGTTTTTCCTGCATAAGAAGGATGTCATGTAGAATTGATTGTGTATGTGACATAGGGATCTCCCCCATTGTGGATTTCCAATTTGGACTCTCATAATATACTGTGTCATAAATCAAAGGTCCATTTAAAAAAAAGCCAGGGCTACAAATAGGCCCAGAATTAACCAAACTCAACAAAAAAGCAAAATTTGTTATATCTGGAGTATTTAGTTCCATATTAGTTGTGATTCTCAAGTTCAAAGGCTCTTTAATATTACTGGTAAGTCCTGAATTATGAATAGGTTAGATCCTAAAAGCTTACGGAATTTATGTTTCCTTAATAACAATGTTTTAAGTAGTAGTTAAGTTCTCAGAAAAACATAAAAACCTATTAAACCCTAATGACATTGTAGCCCATAGTAATAGCACAGGTGGCCCTCCATATTTGTGAGCTCTATATTTTTTGATTCACCAGCTGCAGACTAAATATATTTGGGGAAAAACTGCATCTACACTAAACATGTAGACTTTTTCCTTACCATTATTCCTAAACATTACAACATAAGAACCACTTACATGGCATTCACATTGTATTAGGTGTTATAAATAATCTAGAGATGATTTGAAGTAAACAGGAGGATGTGCATAGCTTATTTGCCATTACATTTAATGGACTGAAGCACCTGCATCCCTACGGGTCCTGGAACCATCTCTGTGGATATGAAGAGACAAAGGGGTGAGTGCCTTAGCTTTAGCTTGGGACCTAGGAGCTGGTGGCTATGTGGCTTACTAGGAAAGGGAAATATGGAAGGAAGAAAACTTCCTCTCTGCTTCCTGAAAATGAAGCCAGCCATTAGCAACATTTTCTTGGACATTCTCCAATTTCCCTTTCTCATCTCTCTCCTACCTCCCAGAGGCTTTCTTCCCACATGGCCCAGAAATTTAGTGACTTCTGACTATCTTAAGACTACCCATAAGGAAACTTTTCCAAGGACTACTTAATGCTCCTACATTCCCTATTTTAAAAAATCCATTTCCCCTGCAGGGCTGACCTCAGCTAGGTATTAGAGAGAAAGCTGATTGTGCTTCCTCACACAAAGATGAGAATGCCAGAGTCTCAGAGGTGTTTTAAGAGGGTGTTTGTTAACTCATAAATTTCTAACTAATAGTATTTCAATAAATTTAACAAAATTAAACATTTTTATATAACATGGAAAAAGATATTTTTAATAAGCATTCTTCATTCAGGGCTGGGGATTTAGCTCAGGGCCACTGCGCCTGCCTTGTAAGCATAAGGACCTGAGTTCGACCCCCGGTACCAAATAAAAAAGCCTTTTCATAAAGAAAGACAAAAGGAACCCAACGACCGATGAATGGGAGCCTGCATGAGTTACCCTTTTCTCCTGTCTGCTTCTCCCCACAATCCTCTCTTATTCTCCTACTCTATATTACTCTTCCGAAATCATTGAGTACACTCAGGTTTTCTCTCCTCTCTACCCAGTGGGGATTGTGAATCTGAGCTCAGTTTTTCTATCTTGTCTGTTTCTTCAGCACTGCCAAACTGAAATAGACTTGGAGTTCCCATGTATTAATCATTTGTTTTTACATTGTGTGTATTTTTTGAAAAATACTGTAAATTACATATAATTATACAAGTAAACGACAGAACAGGATTGGAGAGATATCCTGATTATTCTGGCAGGAGTCCTAGCTAGACTCCAGACAAGGTCCCTCTTAGGTTCATTTTCCTTCTACACAAGAAGACCCTTGAGAGGAGGGGTTGGGTCCTTTACCCTTTCCATCCTTCCTAGTGCCCTTAAACAGCTACTGCTCAGGGAAGGTGCTGTTAGCCAGACTTGTTCTGGAGACCTACATTTCCACAGAATCCAATATATATTTATGTAAACAAGCATATTCCAGTATTTTAAATTTTAACTATAAGTGGTATTCATGATAATCTTTTTTTTCATTCATTAAACAACCTTCATTTTTCTGTTCCCTGACTTTTTTGATCTGAACTCAGCCAGACCTAAAGAGTTTACTTTTCTAAATAGCAGGTATAAGAAACAAGTTTTATACTTAGAGAACTGCAAAACTTATCTAGCAATTGGCATGTAGAAAGGCCTTGAAATCAACCTGGGATCAGATTCTACGAAACTACACAAAGGCATCCTGAGATCCATTTACCTTGAACACACTGGGAACTTGAAGCTTTGGTGATGGGACTCCAATCAAAAAATCAATAATCACCATTGTGAAGATAGTGAGGAAAACTGCAAAGTCACTCACCATGGAGCGTACCTGGAATAAGAATTAAAACACTGTTTTGTTAAGTTAAATATGGTAGAAAAGAATTTAATATAGTAAAAGCTTTAAAAATTCTCAGGAAAATGCTTTCACTTTACAGTTGAACTAATACAAGCACTATAAACAATAGGAATATATTAGTACACCCAAGTCAATGCCCATAAAGTGTAGTTAAGACGAGGGAGAATAAACCCTCTGACAAACTCCAATGTGACCCAACCCAACCTCTGAAGATTTCTGCTTGGGGCATTTAGGTCCAGGTTCAGGTTCTACTTCTGGCCCAAAATGCTAGGCAAGAACCTCAGCAGTAGCATCAACTCCACTTCCCCTCATCCCCCAAATCCGGGATCTAGGGCCTCCTCACCACCTCCACTGTTCCTACTCAGGGCAAAGTCATTAGCAGCTCTTGCTGGGGCAACTCTAGTGGCTCCTAATATTCTTCTGTCTTTGCTCTCCACAGTTTCCTTTAAACGTAGCCACAAGAATAATAATTTAAAATGTAACCTAGATCATGTCATACTTCCACCAAAATCTTCAAATGACTCATTTCATGGAATTAAAAGACCACAATGCCCTCTTGGCCTTTGAGGCCCACACGAATGACATCATCTTTTCTCCATGCACAGCTCCTAATGCTTTTCTTCTTACTCTGCTCAAGCCATAAGTTCCTCCTTGCTGCTCTTTAAACGTGGCAGGCTCATTCTCACTTCAGGGTCTTCATACTTGCTCATCCCTCTACCTGCAATGCTTTTCCTCTAGGCGACCTTTTGGATAGCCCACTAACCCCCACCAGGTTAACTCATATACTGCCTTTTCCATGACATCTTCTCTGATGACCCTACTCAAAACTGGCCACTGCCTACCACCCCAGCACTTCCTAGACTTCTCTCCTGCTTTATTATTATTTTTTTGATAGCACTTATTTCCATTTTATTGTGGACTGCCATCCAATTTAATACCTGCTCTTAGAAAATATACTGTATTATAGCTTAGCGTAGCTTTCATAAAATACAGTTTCTATCAAATGACTGTGCCTACCTTAATAGGAACTTCCAACACAGGCAGAGCAGAATATATCTTAGCCATGCATCAATAACATCACCAGTAACTTAACCACACTTTACTTTGCTTTGACACCTAAGGTATCTAGCACCTTCCCCATGCTCTTGTTAGCTCTTCCCTGAATGTTATATAAATGTGCTGAAGATTCACCCCATCTGAACCCTATCTTGACCATCTTGGGGCCCAGTGGCTCTTCTTGCCTGTGAATGCCAGGTTGGGGTCCAACTACTACTTACTACTGTTGTGTATGGCACCCAATTGTTTCATGTGTCCCCCCTCTCTATCTGCTGGCAGATGCCATCTTTTAAACTGCTTTTGCATCTATCATGGCACTCACTCACTCCTGAGCAACTAGTCAGTACTCAGTAGCCATTTGTTAACTCTTTGTTCAGATAGTAAACCACAACTCAGAACTTACTTAATATGTATATCTCTTAACTACTATGCAGCATCATGAAGTGTAAGAATGGGTTTAGGTATGTATGTATATAAGTAAATATCAACTGATTCCCCCATTCACTCATGTACTTTGTTCTGCAAGTGTGCCTGATTCACAAAAAAAAAATGTGCCTGACTAAAAGTTAACTTACAGAAAAACCATGTCCTGCTGAGTTGAGCTCCCTTTCAAAGCAACGGCCGATTTAGCTACTCTACATTCCACCTTTAATTAAGCCCTGACAAAACTGGCAGAAGCCTTGCTCATGGATACAAACAAAGCTATCTGTATGAAAGAAAGGTTGTTGGGACTTCCATGACGCAAACCAAATCAGGGGCATGGTGCCTGGTGCCATCCGTGTGGCCAGTGAATTCATAAGCTATCACAACAGCCATCCCTGGGAGGAGACCTGAACTTTGGGATTCCCTAAAGTATCCAAGACAATCATCCTAATTTACACACAGCCTAGCTTCAGCTGTTCCACACTTAGTGTCCCAAAATTCTGGAAATGAAACTAACAGCACTCTAGAAGTGAGACTTAATAGCTTTCAGAAAACATTACTGCTGTTTTAAGCTTACCTGGTACTTTTAAGTCAAAAAGAATTTAAGAATTCTCATTCCACACCACAGGCGTGTAACAGGGTGCCAGACACTAGAGGAAATTGTCATACCATAGCTTATCAGGACACTTGGAGCTCTCATACTGCTGATCTACTCCACAATCACCATGGAGGGTAAACACAAGTTCTATTATATCACAGCCCAGCCACAAAAGTGGTGCATGAGCATGCTACCTACCCTGGTTGGGAAATAGCGGCTTGTCTTAAATGTCTTTAAAGTGCTTGAGAGGATGAAGGTGGTGAAGAAAAGAATACAGGACCAGAAGAGCACATCGGGAGTGTAGGGTCCGTGATGGCCACAAGCAGATCCTACAAATTCTCCATGCATCTCTTGGCATTCCTGGAAGAACAAACATTCTCGGTGACAAAAAGTGGACACAAGGATAAAAAAATAGCTGCTGCCTTCTAAGTCCACCACTCTTTGTCATCCCACGGGTGCTGGGGAGCACACGCTCCCAGCAGTATCCATTGACCTCCATGCACTGGGGGGGCTCTGACTTTCAAGTAGGGTACTATTATGATCCTAACCAAGATGCTTTTCAGGTTCCTACTATGCTCCTAAAATACTTTTAAGAATGAAAATAGAACTGAACTGAGCTTCCAAGGCTCTGGAAGGCCCTAGAAATTTATATTATTTTTATTACAGAGGACCTCCAAACTTGAGTTTTCTTCAAGCCCCACAAAGCCTGGATCTGCCTCTTGCCCTGAAGGTTTCATCCCCCCATATCCTTAGCCCAGGGTCACAGGGTGATGTGCTCATGGGAGAAGAGAGGGATGGCCTTCTTTTCCCTTTATGTACAGAAAACTTTACAGTATGTGCCACCACATTTGGCTAGTTTTCTTTTTTTTAAAGCTATGTTTCTTAAATGCTAGAGTTGGCATTTAAGGGCCACCCCTCTTCCAACTAGAAGTCCCTCCTAAACTTGGTGGTCACAATGCTAGCGCACCTAGCCGCTCCTAAACTTACACTGACTGTGAGGTTAGCCCAGTTCACTTCTGTTGTCACAATGTTGTGATCCTTCCAGTATTGCAGGGTGTGATTGTTTGGGTTGTCTGGGAAAGTACACCTGCAGCTGAGAGAAAAGAAGATTCTTAAGAAAAGCAGCCCGATATTCAAGTAAATGTTTTCAGCCACAACTGGGTTAAAGGCTCTATCAGCATCTTCATTCTTTCTCTTTTGAGTGCTTGAGATGTGTCCTATTGGTTGAGCCCCATCTATAGGTGCAACCATACCATAATTTTTCAGTTGGCCATTACTAAAGATGAACTCAAAGCAGCTTTAAGTCTTGGATCACATGCTGACAACCAAGCCTGGCATATGATGTGCCCAGTATGAGCCCTGCTGGCTTCCTGGCTTGGTTTTCATCTCTTAGACTCTTGCTATGAAATTCAATCTATATAGCAAGGAGGTCCTGATAACTCCACTCAGTTCTCAACAATTCCCTTCAAGCCTAGATAGTTTACTTTTAGACTCCCATCATGCTCTTGTTCTAAAAAGTGCAGTCTCCTGGAATTGCAATGCAAGCTCTTCCAACTCTGTTTTATCCTTGATAATATCCCACTACTCTGACCATTTCCTGGCTAGTCATGCTAGAGCCAGGCCTAGCAGCTCCTTTAGCCTTTCCCCAGCCTCCTCTTTCATTCAAACCAGACCAGACTACTAACATTCCTCATTGAATAATCAAATTATGTTCCTGTGAGTAGGTCATTAAATAAATTGATTGCTAAATGAGGAATTACATATAGTATGTACATTACAATATTTAGAACAAAGAAATGGTAAAACTCCAACTTGACAACTTTGCTTTTATTTACATAACTCTTACATGCAGCACTGTAAGGTATAGCAACATAAAACTATAGTACTGTACTTACTATACAATGCAATCAGCAAAACTTACAATACTATATAAACAAAGTATACTGTATAAAAAAGACATTGAGGCTCTATAAATAAGATGTACAGAACTATACACACACACACACACACACACACACACACACATACACAAACAGATCATAAGTCCAAGCAGTGGGTCATAATTCTGAATGGTGAGCTTCGATTCTAAGTACAGATAGTTGTTAAATAGGTAGGTGGTTAAAGGAGAAATATCTGTACACCTACCCCACTGGCCACCACACTGTCTCCCAATCCTAGTATGCTTCATGCCTGAGTTGGTTCCTGGTATGATCAACTTACATAGTCATCCCTACCATATTTGCTTTGTTTATGAATTTAATAAATGTGCTGCCTATGACAGAATTAAAACTCAAAAAGATCTTGATAGGTCAGAATAATTACAGGAAACCAACAAAATGAAAAGCACTAGGGAAAGCTATAAGACACTTTATTTAATGGGTTTTTAAGTCAATTCCATAAATAACACCAATTATTCTAATTTGATGGTTATACTTTATATACTTGTATCAAATATGTCATACTCTACCCCATAAGTATGTACAATTACTATGTGTTAATTAAAAATGAAAATAAGCCAGCTATAATAGAATAGATAATAATCCCAGCCAATTGGCAAAATGATCACTTGAGCTCAGGAGTTTGAGGTCAGTCTGGATAAGACAGAGACTTTGACTCAAGAAGTTGAGTGTGTGTGTGTGTGTGTGTGTGTGTGTGTGTGTGTGTAATATATGTAATTTTTTTTTGCAGTACCAGGGATTGAACTCAGGACCTTGTGCTTGTGAGGCAGGCATGGTGCCACTGAGCTAAATCTCTGGCCCTATGTAAATGTTTTTTAAATAGTCAAAAATAAACCAGGTGTGGGGCATGCCTATAATCTTTTTTTTTTTTTTTTGGTACTGGGGATTGAACTTGGGTCCTTGCACTTGCGCAGCAGGCAGTGAAACCACCATGCCCATAAACTTTATTCTCAG